CATGCAAACTACCCCTGGAAATATGAGATAATGGTACTACCCACTGAACCACAATAGTGCCACCCTGTTGACATCAATGTATTTAAAGCATCCTCCTATGCAGTCTATATTTTGTAACATCTTCTACAAAAATGTATTACCTAAAATGCTTTCTGTTGAGTGTTAAGACACACAGACAATATATTTGATTTCAGAAATACAATGTGCAATAAATATCTTCATCTTGTCATGTTGTTCCTTTGAAAATTCCGTCTCACCTGTTATTTGCCTTGATTAACCAGATAAAAATAAAGGCAAAAGCAAACTCCTTAGGAATTATCCATCTGAAACTTTTTGTAAAGTTATCCCTCAAAAGGCTGAAAGCCATACAATTTGGCCTGGTACAAAAAATATTCACTGTTATCTCTCGTGTTATAGTTGTCCATGGAAATAGGCAGACATTTTGGATATTTGCAACATTGTAAAATAGAACATCGAGGACAGGAGACTCACCAACGAGAGCTCAGACTAGCAGATACCACCTGAAGGCAAAAAGAGATCCTTCCTCATTTCATTACAGATCAGACAAGACACCTACCTCAGATGAAGCTGTATGAGAGGAATCACAAGTACACTTGAAAAGGGAAGCATTGCTGAAATTTCTCGGAGGCCAATGACATCTGCCCACAGATCTGATCCTTCCGGAAGCACTGTGATGTGGTAAATTATGATACTAAAGATGTACGAACACATGTGAAGATGTGAAGGTGAGGATAATTTGCATCATACAATTCAATTTGTCGGGGTCCTGAGCCAAACATAATTTATTGCAGCTTTGAAAGGAAACGGATCGACACAAGTATAATATTTGCTACAGACCCAAATTGCCCAAAAGCTCTTGATAAAGGGACAGAACTGTTGTCTTCCAAAGACACATACAGATATAAAACCATAGAAGGCAAGTGTGGCAGTAATGCATGTATAAATGCACAGAAACCTGATGGAACACACATTTAGATCACAATTGTCTGTGGCTCCATCTTGTGCTGATCAAAATCAGGAATCAGGACAGTGGGCTGCACATCTACATGAAGGGAAGCCTGGTCTGTGCTACTGGCTTCTGCAAAGCAGTTGGTTTGATCAATCAAGAGTGTGCAACACTTCCCCTATGAAAAAAAAGTTTTCGAAATGTGCCACAGACCACAGAGCTCAACATCAAGGTCAGTGACGAGTCGTGTGGCTCCATTTCCACTGAATAAAGCTCACTGGGATTGTCCCCACACAACCAGAGTGATGCCCCTGTAATCCATGTTTACACCACACCGCAGCACAAGGCCGTGTTAATCAGCGTCAGGATGTGACAGATTCACACGGGAGTGAATGCTGCAGCTCTGTTAACCTATGCTAATCGCCGCAGCTATCTAAGTCATAGGCTCGGGCATCCATGAAAACACAGTTATAATACGTAATTGACAGCAGAAGAAGCACAGGTGGAAAGTCTGTCTCCTACATGTCCTGAATAATATATATATATATGTGTGTGTGTGTGTGTTTATGTGTATGTGTGTGTGTGCCAGTATGTATACAAATAATGTAAGATTAATATGTTCAAAGGCACAAGACGAACTGGAGAACCAATTATAGCGAGGATGCACAGGAATGCAGGTTAATCTGTATTATACATAGAAGGCTGGCTGCTAAACACAGGCAGTGCTGCTGCTTGTAGCAGAACCTGGGAGAAATCGAGATGTCATTTTAAAAAGTGCGACCAGGTTTTGCAGGCGGGCTGTGTGGCATACCAGTTAATGGCGGATGTAAAGTGTGGTGTTTGTTATGAAGGATTTTGAAAACACTCCCATAATAAAAATTGTGAAAAGAACTTTATGTTGCTACTAGTACTGGGATGTTTTTGGAATGAACACCAAAAGTATTTAAGACTTCTAATTTGAATTTAGTTCCATTTTATGGTACTGTGTGCTAAGCACCTTAGTGAGTAATGGTGCTCTCTGAAAACTCAGGTCAATCATGCACCAGATGCTGATAAGAAGCTTACTGGCTTCATTCTCTTGGGGTGAGCTGATCTGGGTTCCTCTGCTGTCTGTTACATATGTGCCTCCTGTTCTTCTTTAGTTAGCATGTTGCCAATGAATTCATCAGCTCCTCCAACCTGCCGAAGCTCTTCTGTGTGGAGCAGCGTGACTCATAGCGTCAGAAAAGAATGTGAGCTGGCAAGGGTGTGAATCCACTGTCTGTGAGCCAACTGGCCCCGCCTCTTCGGAGAACTGGGCCTGATGCAGAATTGAAAATAACTGGATATAATAATAATAATAATAATAATAATAATAATAATAATAATAATACATAAAATCATCATCATTTGCAGTCTCATATTTCCAAAAGTTGCTAAAATGCTAAATTATATAAAAAGTTAATAAAAGTGACATTCAGTGCTTTTAACAGCAATTAACATGGCAAGAGGTCTGGAGATTCCCTCCACGCTGAAGTGCATCGTACCCTCTGGCGCTGATATTCAGTAATATAAAGGCAAGCAGAGCAGCATAAGTCAGGTGCTGGAGCCAAAGTGTTCCAGAAGATGAAGTCGGCCCAATGATTTAATGCTGCAATTTTATCCATTTAAAAATAGGTTCGTAAAACTATAAAACGAGCAGAGGATTAGTAGAGAGTAGCTTTAAATAATGATGTCAGATGTTGTACAGCTGTATAGCTGAGCAGTGATCAATAGGGGCCACATCTGTATGTCTATAAGGTGGTACACAGCTGTTATGAAGCCATTTTTAAGTCAGGCATCCTACAGTGTGATGGATTATCTACAAAACGTAAAGGGCTGCTTCTCCTAGACAACATACATAGCTAGAGGAGTATGAATAAAGGTGGATAGTTCAGATCCAGAAAGTAAAAATCCAGACCAAGATCTTATTTCAACCAAACAGTTGAGTATAAAGAGTCTCAGTCAGAAAATTGGTCAAATGATTTTTACTTTCTGCACCTGAACTATCCACCTCAGTCTAGGAGAACCACAGGTTAACTTCCAAGAACATGCAGGCATGTCTTTGGGCCATAGGGCAAAACTGCACTGACAGAAAGAAATTGAACAAACTTTGTGAACAGTGAAGGTCATAAAGGAAGAGGACTCTGCTTTCACAGATATACAAATATAAGCAGAAATCACAGCAGAGAACAGTAATCTACAGGAATGTGTGCTGGACAGACAAGATGAAGAGATTTTGGCCAATGCTGATGAGATTTTTTTTAAATTGAAATGTGAAACAAAACATCTTTGAATAGGAGATATAGAGGAGTGCTGCATCAATCATAAAACACAGTGATAGGAGCATTAATGTTTTTTAGCCCAGGCCTCTTGATAACATTGAATCAACCATGAATTCCACAATGCATCAGCGAATACTGGAGCAGGATTCATGGCCATCTGTCTACATCTGAAATGGATCTTGCAACAGAACAGTGATCCAGAGCTGTAAATCCATACCAGAATTATTCCAAAAAAGAGACTTTTGGAATGGCCCAATCTAAATCCACCAGGATCATTGTGCTTGTGGGTGTTTGTGCTGAGGGAGGAGGGACTCGAGAAAGACATCAGATATCCACAGTTTATGAGCTTCTGTGTTGGACAGGTAAGCGAGGACATATGGACAGTTACAGAGGATACTTACGTACCACTTTCACCAATGGGGGTGACAGGTGATCCCATTTGTTTAATTGGCACATTATGTATTAGGCAGAAGATCACTAAAAATTCCCTTAACTAGTTTTATATACATTTACTTTAGTTATATTTCATACAAACACATTACAAACATATGACTGCCAAGCAGTTGACTAGGGTGCAGTTAGGCTGAACTTTCAGTGAATGCCCAGGAACAAAGCAAGAACATAACAAGAATGCTATTCAAATCAGCAGAAAGTGCAGCATTAAGAACATTAAGCCTAGGAGAGGTATTAGAGGAAGAGGCATTTCCAGAGGGTGGAGATGACCAAATAGTCCAGACCAGGGGTAAGGATCCTGATCCATGACCTCTCAATCAGCAGATTGCTCAATTACAGTGAGTCCCCAGGACTGGATTTGAGAACCACTGCTTTATTTATTTATTTATTTATTTATTTATTTATTGCCCACCACCACCACCCCCCTCTTCGGAGGACAACTTTATTTTACATTAAATTCAAGAGCAAAGAGTGTGGCCGCTCCAAAATCACCCGTCCTAGTACCGTGAAGGGAAAAAAAGGGGGGGGGGATACAGAAACAACAATCATAACAATAACAGACATTAATCACCATGGGGAGAGGGGGAGAAAAAAGAAAAGAAAACAAAGGTAAACAGAAATAATAACACTAATAATGTAGTTGGGATGGAGAAAATGAAGTGTAGGGGAATACAGAATACAAACAACCATAAGAAACATAACACTCATTA